TCTCTTAAGCTTGTGACGTGAAACATGTGACTTGTTTCTTGTGACTTTCTTCATTCTTATATATGTTGTGTACGATCGGTAGATGTGGAGTACTCAAAGCCTAGACAACCAACTCGGAATGTTAGGATCTCTGAAAATCAACTGGGCACAAGTGAGGCAACTCCCCTACTGTCGAAGGTAGATGTTGAAGATTCAGATTTTGTAGGCCCATCACTATATAAACAAACGGGGGTTGCTGGCTCTAGCTCTCGCGATCAGCAAAGTGCTGCCTCACATCCAGATTGCTCATGTGTTGAGGTAAGTAATATCATTGTCTTTTCACTTCAGAACACATTTTATATACAATTTCACTAACTACAAAATTTATCAGGAATGTGGTCGACTGAAGCAGTTGATTGAAAAGGAAGTAACCAAGCTCCAAGCGGAGAACAAGGGGTTGAAAGAGGAGCTTATGTCGATGAAGTCAGAACTCTCTAAGATGAATGTAAACATGCGTCAATCAAACAATTCTTTGAAGCTCAATGAGATCATTCAGAGTCACAATGTGTTGAAAGATAGCTTGAGTGACATCAGGTTGTCTCTTAAAAATTTTGTTGAATCTGTTTCTGACATTTTATCTTCGGTGATGGATGAACTTCATAAGAAGTTGAGTGGTAAAGATGTTTTGATGGAACAAGTGCCAAAAGATGATGATGATGTTGACAAAAAGGGCAAGGGTCACATGGAACCTGAGCCAAAAGGTGATCATATTGTTGAAAAAAGTGACAATGTTCAAATAGAACCCAAGTAAAAAGGTGATGATGTGGCTGAAAAAGTGGACAAGGGTCACATGGGACCTGAGTTTTCACATGTTCATGATGACTATGTTCTTGAATCTCCTTCATTTGATCTAGGAGTTTGCTCCTCACAGACACCTAAAAGCTCTGATGATACATTTTTTGCCAGTAAAGAAGTGTAGGATCAGGTTGATGAGGCTATTGCACGTGTCTTGGAGTCTACTGAACTTCATTGTAAAGATGTCAGTTTAATGAAACATTTAGTGTTTTAATATTCAAATTCTTAACATTTATCATCGACACTCTTACAAAAGAAGTAAGCATAGAATTGGTCCCATCTAGTGGAAGATGACATTCAGGCTTAGTTTGAACACACGAGTTGGTCTCATCTAGTGGAAGATGACATTCAGATTCAGTTTGAACACACAAGTTAAACAAAAAATAACGTTGTTTTTATGTTTTTTATTCAGGAAGAAACACCTGCACCACCATCATCTGGACTACCTGTGAAGAGAGCACAAAAGCCATCGAAAACTTTGTAGTCACCTTTTGTTAAGGTCGATCCACGTCATGCTGCTACTGGATCAAAATCTATCACTGTAAACGTCGTGTTCCAAAATTATTCCAAAGGAGTTGATAGCACAGATCTGAGTTCATTTAAGAATTGGTTTGACAGAGGATACAAGCCCAAGAACAAGTAAATTAAACGTAGATTTTACTATTTTTAGTAAATTGTGACCTTCCATTTCTTTTTGTAACTACAGCATTTCTGGTCACAGACAGAAATAAATTGGTCACAATCATATTCTTTGTTTTATGAGGGCATATGTGTGTGCACGGTGTAAAGTTTAAAGATGTAGATAACGTGATAAGTCCTCAGTTTGTATGTGGCACTGTCGCTGTTCATTATAAAACTTGGTGGCATGCATTGATCGATTCTAATTCATCATTGAACAGCACGGTATAATTTTTTCACCATTTTCCACATATGCATAATAGTTTTGTATTACTTATGTATATTCTTTCTTATTACAGCACTTGGATGCATGCTTTCATTACATAAGACAACTTGCCAAGTTTGGTGAAGGTGTGAAGATGAAAGCTACCACTACAGACTGCATATTTGATATGTCAATCAAGTCGACATACTCCAAGTTTATTCAAGACCCAAGCATTGTTGAGAAGAAGGATGAGCTAATCAAAACCATCAATGGTGAATGGTTATCATTTAATACTGCATGGAGAGAAGTTGAATCTGTGTTGATGCCCATTATGCCCACAAATCATGCTCATTGGATGTTAGGGCAGCTTGATATTACTAACCATGTCCTTTACATATATAATTCAAGCAACAAATCATACAAGGACAATAAGGTTCGCGAAGGGGTTTTATCGCTTGTGAAGACTCTTACACACCTTTTAAAATTTGTCGGGCTATGGAAGGAAACTAGTGATAGTATTGGTGACAAATCTGGGGAACTGCATGTTAATATTGTCCGTGGTTTACCCCAACAACAAAATGGGTAAGTTTCGTTATGGGCATTGCAAGTTTTATCATTTTCCATCAACATTTTGTAATTACTTATGGTTTGTCTTCTTTAAATATTACAGGCATGATTGTGGGGTTTTTGTGATAAAGTATGCACAGTATTTGTTGCACAATGATCTTGGCAATATGCCAATGTCATTTGATGCTGGGAATGCCAGA